CTCCCAAAGACTGATCACGTGATTAATTACTGTTCCCATAATTAGCGCTCATTTCGTGCGAAGACATCATTCGGCAACACAAGAGCGCGTGTCTCAAGATCTCAGCGCTTCTCGCGGTCCAAGTATTCACTCTTTGTTAACCCTTTTGCTCTCTTTCGCTAATCAGCCGTTCATTCAATTCAAATCCGCTTTCAATGCCTTTTAATTGCAAAGCATTGCGTAATCACTAGAGTAGTAAAAAAGGGCTAATTGTTAGCGCGATTCCCATTAAAACGTTGAGTAAATGAAAATATAATATTTGGTAAATTTGATTCAAAAGATTTAACAACTTTTTATCAACATTACGACTGCATTAAAGACTTGCATTTTATTTACGAAAACTATATTTTTTGGTCGCATTCATCACTAAATTAGTAACAAATGGTCACTAATTTGTTAATGAAAACCGAAAACTAAACTTTTTAACGCTATTATTGGTCTGCGCGCAATGATTAGCCCTTTTTTTGCTTCTCTAGTAATCACTGAAAGCGTTACACAATTGTTGCGCAATGCGTGCAAAGCTTTAAAGCTTTCCTGAGATAAGCTTTTCTTTTCCTATATTCCAGGAGCGCGTGTCTGATAATGAATAAAAAGTCTTAATATGAGTTTTCTCATTGTAGGAGCGCGTGTGGATCGGAAGCTCGGCCGGAATCGTTTGCATTCTCGACACCAAATCCAAAGAACTCGAAATCGGTGAGCATTTCATGTCTTTTAATGTCTTTTCTCTCTTTTAATGTCATTTCATGTCTTAACTATGCCTATAAACAGTTCCGAACGGACACACGGGTCACGTGCGCTTCCTCACGGCCATCCACGGGCTCGTCATCTCGGGCGGCGACGGCATCGAAGTGTACCGCCGGGGCGGCGCCTCCCTGGAGGGCGGGGCCAACGGCGGACGCGACGACTCAACCAATCATTTGCTTTTGTGGGAAATTAATTGTAAATAAATTCAAAACTCTCTCATCTCTGCTCTCGTGCTCTCAATAATGAGACGACAGATGTTTGCGACGATTGTTGTCTCGAGGCTCTCAACAGCTCTCACAGCGCTTACATTCCTCGCGCAACACTCCTGCCTTTCGCACACTTCTCATTGGTTGAAAGTTTTTCTCAGCATTGCCTTCACTGCGCGCACTCCTCTCCATAGTCGTTGGCTTTTTGTTCGCCAAACCACTGAAGACAACACTCGTCAGCCTTTTGTCCGCTTTTTCGCCGCATTTCCGCTCTTCACGACCCGTACGGACACCACGAGTCCGCCAACTCTGTGTTCGCCGAAGTTATGGCCGAAACGAAGGCCAAGAAGTGGTGAAAAGTGAACGCAAAGTCTTGTCGACTGTCAACAAGTGTCCCAAAAGACGACAATGAAGTCAGTGTCGAGTCTCGCGTTGTCTGTTGTCGTCGTCGTCCTGTCGCTCGTCGCGCGACCGACCCTTCAGTTCGCCAACAATTCGATTATTCGTGAGTTTTTCAACGCATTTCTCGCACAACAATCACAACTCAACGCTCTTTCCGTAGATTCCAATCAATACTCTCTTCAAAGCAATTGTTCGCCAAATCTCTGCCAAAATGGCGGCGAATGCGTCCAAAACCCGTTGCGGCCGTCGAGCGCCTTCTGCCGGTCAGTATGACTC